GTCCCGAAGAAATTCGGACGTTGGCCGCGGAGTACACTGGCCAACGTCCGAATTTCTTCGGGACTTCGCTTTTCCAATGCCTTCACGGCAACGCGGCCTTTGAATTGACCTTCGTGGAATTAAGAAGTGGCGCCTTCCCCAACGACTTTTCCCATGGAAAGTTTGCTGATGATCGGACGTTCTTGTTTTGGAGGGCTGAGATCGATGCTGTCTCCAGCTGAAGCTGCTCCACATTTCGCGCGGCCCTTGCCAAGCTTGAGGTCGCCGGCCGTGCCAAGGATTGAGACAAGTCAAAACAGCGAAGGCCATGAACAAACAAATCGCCGGCGGCCGGGCGTCAAGCGAACGGTGGCAGGAATGCCGCTGCCACCCGTTGAAGCCAACTCCTCGACCAGCTGAGACATGCCCATGGTGCGAGCTCTGCACAGGCACAAGGCAGTTGCACCAAAAGTGACTTCACACCAACAAGGACCGAAGCAATGCCTCGGATCGAAATGAGCGTTGAAGGCAAGCGGGTCCACCTCAACAGTGGCCAGCATTTGGCACTGGCCACCGGCCACTGGCATGCACTCGTAAAGGCCCTTTTGCGGCGCCGAGAAATAAGACCCATCGAAGAGGATCAGGATGTACGTTGCCAGCAGCAAGCATAGCAACGGCGCCGATTGGCTAACCACTTTGAGCATCCAGCCTGCCATGATCTGGGCTGGTAGCAAAGCGACCGTCGAAGCCGTTGCTTTAGCCGCTATTGCCTCCATAAATGTTGTTGTTCCACCCAAGCTCACTCGCTTGACACTCTGACTTTGGTTTTATGGCTGGCTTCAACTGCTCCCGAATCAAAGCATTCGATGCCACTTGCGATATTTTGCGTTGCGTGCGTACGCCTGCTTGAGCAAGGCTTGAGCCCTAGTTCTGGTTAGCACCGGGCCCACATCTCTATGGGTTTCAGAGCTCTCCACTTCCACGGTGGGGCCTGTTTACTGCGTTTTTTCCTGGGGCTTATTCGAGCCGGGACCAAAAATTGTCTTTTTTCCTTTCCAGTCCGTAATGGTCAATCTTAAAGCAGCCACGACCCAAACCCCCCCCCCCCCCAGCCCTGAAACCCTGGACCTGAAAGCCCGAAGCTCTCCCTAAAGGCTAAAACAACCCTTAAGCCTCTACCCTTAATCCCAGGCCTCCGGCCGAGAGCCTCAGACAGTCGCAGAGTCACCTACGGCTGGTCTCCTTTTTTCTCTCGGCCCCACACCATCTGAAGCCACCAGCCCCAAGGTGACCGCAGTCTTTCCCTGAGGCCACACTGGGCAATGAGGACTTGACGGACTCACAGATGGCGCCACGCAACCAAGAGCGGGGCCGACCCTACTTGGTCTGCAAGAAGCCCTCCTGACAGAAACGGGAGCTGTCCGGGGCACCGTTGCGGTATCCACAATGCAGAGTGACGAAGCTCAATCACTGGGACGTAAGACTTGCTTCAGTGAATCTTGCTGCCTTCAGCTTGACGTCAGTCATCCAGCACGTTGCTTTTGCAATCGCTGCACCAGCATGGTTGTGCTGAGGGCCGGTAAGCAGTGGAGTAACCAATATTTTTTGAAGGCTTGTGCTGACATCCATTCAGTCCCTTGCCAGGAACCCAGCTTTCTGGGCAGGGCACCGCTATGCCCAATTCCCCGTTAGAACTCCGGGAGTCCCCCCTCTTTATGCCAGCATCACCTTCTGCACACGTTTCCGAACCACGCCCTCCCCCTTCTCAGTCTCTGGTTCTTCAACACAGTCACCAGTTCATCACCGCTCGCTCACCCTGGCGGCGCAAGAAGTTGAAAATCCTGATGCCGCTGCGCGGCCGTATGCAACTCTGCAGCCCCTGCTACCCACCCAGGCGGAAAAACATCGGCCTCGAAGGTGGAAGGCTCGCTGCACTCGCGCCACAGCTCTGCAGCCCAGAGCCTTCCACGACGAGCAGTAGGGAGGTCAAGGGAGGGCAAGGACAAACCGAAGACATTGCCGGGCCTGACAAAGAAGCTGCTGTGCGGCATGCGGCGGATGGAGCGTTGGGAAAAACCTCGGCGGACCCCGTACAGCGTCGACTCTTCGCAGTGCCAGATCGCAGCGCTCTCAATCGCTTGCGAAGGAGCTCACGGCTCACTCCCAGGAGTAGCGGCTCCCGACTCTCTGCTTCGCAAGCCTTTCGTGGACAAAAAACCGGCTGGGACCACACAAGATCACACAAGCGTAGGTAAAAACCCATGGCCTGCATCCAAGCCAGGGACCGGAGCTGGTGTCCGCGTAGCGGCAGAAGCAGTCCACCGGCTTCTGCCTCGGAGCTGAGCCAGAAAATCCCTCCTGGAGTCTAGAGTCTTCGAGATGTCTTCGAGGCTCAGATGCACTCGTCGTGTCATGGGGACTTCACAGAATCGAAGGCCGGGCGGCCTCCGCATCCATGGTGTTCGACAGCAGCTGAAAGGCCCGTGATGATGCAGTTGCCTGACGAGGGAAGCCAGGCACCAGGGATTCTCAAGTGCCGCAAAACAAGGGTACTAAAGTTACTAAAACTGTTAGAAAACTGAAAAGAGTGGCCCTTTACCACCGCCGCACCTGCGTCTTCTCATGCGCCAGCTCCGTGTACACATCAACATCGAAGCTCCAGGGACATTATGACTACGCTACGACCCTACGAGCCCCGTTAGATCCAACTCTGGGGGAGGACAATTGACAATCGGGCTTCATTCAATCCTACTGGTAGAGACCGTGTGGAAAGGCTCAAGCTGCACGAAGACACAGAGTGGACGAATTTTGGGTGCAACAGTTGGAACGGTCAGCCAGAGTGAAGACTTGAAGTTTGAATCTGGCCCAAATCCTACCTCTGCAGTGGTGGTTGGCTATGAAACTTAATTTGTGCCGGCTTGAATCCTCCCCGGACCTGCTGCTAGTGACCCCGCCAAAGCCGCCACTGACTCCTCGCAGCTTCGAAGCGCAGGGAGCGACGGCGGCGACATCCGACAGTCCAAGCTTGTCCTCCAATTCCCGTCAGAGCCCGCGGTCTGCGCCCAGGATCACGCCCATGCGTCCTCGCCACGAGAAGACACATCACCAGCGCTCGGCCTCATCCTCTGCGGCCTCTCCGTACCGGATGGGGAGAGCGCCTGCGAATTTGCCAATGCCCCGGGATCCAACTCCCGCACCAAAGCGGCAAAGCCCCAAAGCGTCCGCGCCTCCTCGCGTGACCTCTTCTCGAGGCGCCAAGAAAAGCGCAGGTGCGGCCCCAGCCTCCAAGGCGGGTAGATGGCCTCAGCTGAGAAGCTCCAGAGCACGGCCAGCGCACAGGTCGCCAAAGGGTCCGTGCGAAGCGAGCCCTTTGGGCGAGCGCGAGCGGGTCCGCGACGACCTGAGAGCACACGCGCTGCATCAGAAGGGCGTTTTGGGGCGTTTTGCGGCCAGGTAACGCGCAGCTCCAGGTCAAGCCTGCCCGCCTTGGAGCCCTGCAGCTCGGCCAAAACAGGAGCACAGACTCCGCGGATCTCCGCGGTCGGACCTTGGACCCGCCGTCGCCGTCGCCACAGACGACGGCGCAGACTCGAAGAGGCGGCAGGCCGGCTGCCGGGGCCTCCTGCAGCCACGACGTGCTGTGCCCCGAGGTGGCAGCATGCATCAAGCTACGGAGCCAACGCTTTTGCCGGAGGGCGTAAAGCAGCAACGAATTCTCTCCTCCGCGTCGCCATCTCGCAGTGGCACCTCGCAGCTCTGGGCAGCTCGCGCAGCAGAGAGTCGTGCTGAGGGTGAACGTGAGTGAGGGGTGAGGGGGTGACGAACAAGGGGCGAGAGTGCAAACCCCCAATCGACATCACGCACTGCACACACTGCTACATGACGTGTTGGTGGAAAGCGGCGGTGTTACAGTGTTAATGTGCCATATGTCTGAGTTGTGTGAGCCGGCACGAAGATCTCTTGTCACGTGCTGGCGCAAGTCAGTTTTTTCCCAGCCCGGCCTCGCGCCATCCCGAGGGCACCGCTGGCAGTCCCGCCGGCTCCACCTCCAAACCCGCCGAATCCTGCAAGGGGCCACGACATGCCACGACAAAGATGAACTGAAGCACGAACATGGGCCATGGAGTCTTCGAGAGTCTAAGAGTCTAACAATTCAAACTGTGGTGCTCTTGCCGAAGCACTGGGAAGTGAGTGAGCAGAGACTTTTGCTCTTGCGTGTCTTGTCACCTCGCCGTTTCTAACTCAGGCAGCGGCGTTGTCGTGCAAGCAGTCTGCCAGGTGCCGGTGCGCACTTCCACCTGAGAGCTGTTGAAATTCTGGACCCTAAACCCTGCACAAGTGCAGAAAGCCCCACCACAGATGCTGCAGCCGCTGCAAGCTGAGCCTGAGCAAGCTGGTGCATCGAGCGCGGACTAAGGTGGTATACAACCTTTCAAGAATCACGCACTCATCTCATCACAAACGCATCTTCGCATCAACTTGCAGGGGACAACCCCGAAAGCACAGACATGAAACAAGCTGTCGAGCTCAGAGGAACTTAGGCCGATTCTGGCCTTACAGGCTGGTTATCAAGCATCGAGCCCTCAACTCAGTGAGCCTGCCGTGGAGGGAGCTTCGGCGACATCTGCATCGGAGCCGTGGCCCTGTCCGAAATCGGAAAAAGGGGCTTAGCTACGACAGAGCGAATCAAGGCGAGTCGGCATGCGCTCTCAGCATCCCGCCCATCTTGCTTGTCTCTCCCGCCGGAACCCCTCAAGGGAAGGGAGAACCGCAAGGATTCGTACTAATGTAACACGCTGACCATGGGCCTCGCCGGCGTTCCGACCTTTCACGTGCAGGACCACCGAGGCTCTGTGGCCTTGCAGGGCTGAGCTGATGCAGAAAGCCGCGGCCGCGGCTGCTCAAGGCTCCTTCGAACCCAAGGGTTTTCGTCCTTCGCGTTCTTTTTGGTTGCGCGGCGAGCGCGAAGGCGCCAAGTGAAACGTTGAAGGTTGTGAGCTGACGTGTTCTCGCCGGCCTCTACTGCGCACCTTGGCCCGATGTGCTCTATGGCAATAGCGGCGTCTCTTCACCCTGCATAGCAAAGCCAGGCGTCATGCCAGTGATCTGCGGAGGGGTGACACCACCGTCTTGACCGTAGAGAGATCCGTACATGCCTGGTGCAACTCCTGGCTGCTCGAGCATGGGGGTGACATCCCCTCCGGCAAAGCCCGGCGTCATGCCCACCACATCTCCGGGGGTCAATGCACCGGTGGGCAATCCAGGGGTTGTTGCACCTGCGAGGGCAATATAGGGCCATTATGACATGGTTGACAGGGGTCCTACTCATAACTCATAGCATGACTTGAGCAGAACTCTGCCATGCCGCACACCAATAATTGTAAGAGGATGCAAGTGTGGACAAGAGCAGACGACGGCCGAAATGAGAGAATCTTGAACAACTTTGCAACCAGACTGGGGTTGCTTCCGTCGCCTAAGAATCCCAACGTGCCCTCTAAGCCGGTTATTAAGGTCCCTCTCAGACATTCAATGCCCTCGCCTGGCTGCACTGGGACCGGTGTCTCGGACTTCACCGGCGGCTGCGCGTCTCTGAACTCAATGGGCTTCTTGTCCTTTCTCCAAGTCTTGAAATCGGGTATGGGATCCTGCAGCGCCTTTTTCGCGGCGGAACCCGCTGACGGCGTGCCCGGTTGTCGGACCTTGGCTTTGATCGAAGGGGCTGGGGCGAGCTTGCCGTTCCTCCTGCGAGGCGCATGTCGCAGATCACCCGACACATTACCGGTGAAGGCGGGTGCTCGCGGCATGTTGTAAGATGGCCTGGCGGACTGCACGGCTTGCTGGAAGGCTTGCGGAACAGGGGTCGACAGTCCACTTTGCCCCGCGGCTTTCAAGATAAATCTTTGTGCAGGCGTTCCTGGTGGAAAGGCTGGAGTGCCGGGGTTCGCAGGCGTCTGCGGCATGGCTGGCGTCGGCGGCATTCCAGGTGTCGGCGGCATTCCAGGTGTCGGCGGCATTCCAGGTGTCGGCGGCATTCCAGGTGTCGGCGGCATTCCGAGCGTCGGCGTAAGGGGATTTCCCGCTTGCTGTTTGGTTGGAGTGAGGGGATGCATGCCATGCATGCCCGGCATGGCTCCAGGAACAGTCGGCGTGGCGGGTGCTGACGGATTCGGCGTAAATGGAGCAGCCCTCGCACCGAAGGCCGCCGCTGGAGTTGGAGGCGCTTGCGGGTGAAAGGCTGCAGCGGGCGTCCGAGGAATCTGCGGGGGTTGGGGTTCTGGCGGAGTCAGGGGAATCGAATCCGCATTGGGGACAGAGACATTGCCCTTAACCTCCTTTGCCCAGTCTCTCTCTTGCCACTGCTTCTTGGTATTCCATGAGGAATACTCGGACTTATCTTCCCACCTTGCCCGCTTCCAGTTGGACGTCTCGTCCCATCCGTCCCATTCACTCTTCACGCGCTTCTTGCTGTGCCAGTCATTGCTCTCCTTCTGCCACCACTTGCTGCCGCCCTGCCACTTGTACCAGTCGTCATTGTCTTTGCCCTTGTTGTCCGGCCAGTCCTCCCAGCCCATCGCCTACATTGCGCTTGGAACCGGCACCGTAAGTTCTATTGTGGTTCACAGCCTTATCAGCCTGGGGCTACTGCTCCGCTTCCTTGTGGCTCATGGCTTGAGACTCATGCCATGTCTGACCAGCCACGGAGTTGCGAGATGTGGTGGTAGCAGTGATCTGTAGCTGATGATGGAAGCGGCTGCAGCGACCGAAGTTCATAAGACAAACAACATGGCTCTTTGAACTCAAGACTCCACAGCCTGGTTGCTAACTACGACTACTAGGCTAAGGCTGCGGCAGAGTGTGAGCTTCTGCCCATCCACGCCTTGATCCACCTCACTGCTTCTGCGGCCGTGTCAGCGCTCTATCAGCAATTGGCCCGGAATGTCACAAAGCTCCATCGCACCTGGCTCCGCATTGCGTTCCATGGTGGTCAAAGCTACAGAGCCGAGAATCTCATGGGTGTCTAAAGAAGTTTGGCTCACTATGACTCGGTCGGGGCTTGAAGGCTTGAAGGCTTGAACTAAGGTGCTGAACGGTGGCAAGATGGAGTGAAGGAAAAAGCCCTGGAGCCATGGAGCCAGCAGCTGGCGCCTTGAGCTTCTGCACTTGTCGTCCCAGCACAAGACCACAACACAGCTCAGCCGGCAGAGCTCCGCTTGGGGCATGCTATGTGCTAATTGCTGTGTCCTGCTGCTCCATGGCCTTGGACATCTGGACAAGAGGTGTCTGATCCTTCGAGACGTCTAGAAACATGACCCTTAGCTGACAAACTTCTGGGTTGCCCATGGTGCACAGATGTGCACAGTCCAGCCATCTGCAACGGCGCTGCAAATCACCAATGCTCGCCTCATTGCGCAGGATGCTCGGGGCAGCAGAACCCTGGAACAGCGGTTCCCTTCGGCCGGCCTGGAGCGATGCCTTGACTTGGCTTACGGAGCCTTCGCAGTTCCCCGCCACCATGGCCTGGATGCGCAGGGTCGAACTTCCCCGCTGGCCCTGACAAGGCCCTCAAAGCGGCCCTCCGCGCCTTGACCCAGGCCCAGGTGAAGGCCTCGGAGAGCGGCACAGCTGTTCACGGCTCCAAGCCGTCTCCCACCAGGGCACCCCTTGAACGACGCCCTCGATCGGCAGCTCCCCACACCACTGAGCCTGAACGTGACATGGCATATCATGGCATGAGGGCTTCGGAAGAGGTGAAAAGCTTGGAGCCTGGTGGCAGGCGGAGTAGCAGGTCAGTGAGCACTCGATCGCAGGCACCTGCAAGGCGAACGAAGTCATGCTTCGGGCCCAGCCCCGCTCATCGCTCTCCGCCTCGATGGATTGAGGGGCCCTGAGCGGAATGCTCGGCAGGACCTGCCGTGCACCGGACGAAGCGCCCTCAAGCCCCTTCGGCCTCGCTGCGAAGAAGCGGAGGAAAACTGCCGCCGGCGTGTCCAGGCGCCGTGCCCGCACGTCGGCCATCTGCGCTCCCAGGGCTATGATGGGCGAGAAGCTCAAGTTGATCGCTTCTTCTGAGAGCCTGGTCCATGCCAGCAAAGGCTGCCGGTTGCATCTGCGCCTCCAAAGCCACAAGTCAGGATCCGAGGTGGGCAGAGCGCACGGAAGCGGACCCACTGGAACATTGCCGGCTGAGGTTTCGATCCTGCGCGACACGGATGGAAGAAAATGTCAAGGAGCCATGGCTTGTCGGTCGAACCTACGCCCGGCAGCGAGGAGTGGCAGCAGTCAAGGACAACGGTTGCCTTACCTCGCGAGATGACCCCCATCGAAAAGCCGTGGCTGACACACCCAGGGATGCCAAGGGATGCCAAGCGGCATCCGGCCGGGAGCTTAGACAGAGCTTGTGAGACTTCCGTCAGCGGCACTAACCTGCGGGCGGCCAGGCCAGGAGCCAGATGGAGCCACGTAGCAGACATAGCAAGCTGAACCTGTAGCCACCGGTGCTGTCGCCACTTCCATTCTTCAGGGCCTCAAAAACCGCCGGACGGGGAAGCTGGCTCACCCCTCCGGGCACACCCTGAGCGGGCGCCAGGCAGCGTAGTCAATGGGAACGAGACACGCTTCGAAGCTCCCCACACCTTTCACTGCTTTGCAGCTGCGATCTGCTCTCCGTTTATGACCAGGAGCCCCGCCGTGCGGCAGCAGTGCCCCATAGCCTCTCGCGTGGACTGGGTACTCTGGGCTGCGTTATGCCGCACTCAGCTCGCAGAGCAGGACGCGCCTGCAAAGTAGAGGAAAACCTCATCGCCGGGCAGAGTGTCGGCTGCGAGCCACTGCAGGCCTTGAGCTGAAAGCGTGTCCCATTGGCCATCGGCCGCATGATTCAGGACAAATATGTCCGTTAGCAACACAGCTTGCCTTCTGCGATCGTGGCAGCAGTCGGCCGCCGCTGTGGAGGCATTGGACAACTGCGAGTGCCATCAACGATGAAGCGCACCTGCAGTATGCGCATGGCAGCAACAGAGCTTCTCGAAGGGAGTACTGGGCCTGACTCTCCGAGATCTGCAGTGTGTGTCTAAGGAGACTCAGAACCTGTCAATGGCCAAGAGCCCCATTCGGTGATATGAGACGACACGGAACAGAGTCGCGCGGCCCCGGAGCTTGAAGCCCGCGGAAACGCAGCAAGCCGAGCCGCTGGCATTCCATGCATCGTTGATGGCTCCCTTGAGGGGCGTGTTCCTCTGCTGCCGTGCGAACACGGATTCCTTTGAACGATCCCAGAAGTCTTACCGAGAACCCATTTCTGGGCATACCGCGACTCGAAATAGCTGCAGCCAATGACCAGCGCTTTTCTGCGACCAGCGTGGGCCCTCAGAGACCAAGGAACAAGACTTTCACCGATGTCATACATGCTGAGCACCCAGTGCTAAGCCGCCCGCGGCAAAGGCAAACAAGAAAGCACCTGCAAATCAGAAGCATGAACCCACATAGATTGCTGCTGCTGTGCTTGGACAAATCATCTACCGACCAGGCACGGGTTGCAGGCTGTCGCAGAGACACCAAAGCCGATAGTGAGTCACATGAAGCGAACACAAGCGTCACAACAGCAGACGGTGCACCATGCCACGCAATGCTGCCGGCACCGACCGCACCTGAGCGCACTTTCAGATGTACACCTGCCCTTGAGCTCTTGACTGCAAAGGCCTTGGATGGCTCCAGCGGCTTCAGCTCTGCCTGGCAAAATGGTCCATGGCCTGTTTCATGATGCAGCCTTGCGCAGCCTTGCCTCATCGCGGCCAGGAGCCAAGCGCATCACCTGGGAAAGAGCTACATCACAGCCGGCCTCACTCGAAGCCCGGACCGAAATTACACCAGCCTAGCAATGATACAAACAACCGCATTTGAGCAGAACACACAAGGACGTGATCACAACTGGCGGGATTATGTTTCGGGGGGGTTTCTGGGAATATTGAATTGCGGCTTGGCTGTGCCTCGTGATCAGGGGCTTGCAGTTGGGCTTCGTTTTTGTGCTCGGGGCTTCACAGCATGACGTCTCTGTCCCCTGCAATGTAACAGCAAGTGGCTGTCCCTGAGGCTGGCGACCGGTCATCGACTCGAACATCTCATCGGCTTGAGCTTTCGCCTCTTTCATCAGGGATTCGTTGTCATCGAAAAGCGGCCAACTCAGCCTGCTTCAGCTGGTGCCTCCTGTCCATGGTTTGAAGCTTGGAAAGCTCGCGGTGGGCAAGCCTCTCCTTCTCTTTCTCCCTCTTCCAGGCGACGATGCCGTCCGTTTCAGTAGCTCCATCACGTGCGATCTTCTGCAAAATGAAGGCACGAGCTGCCGGGCCGAATCGGCCTGAAGCCGTGCTGAGAAGACCACACGTATGATTCCCCGCTTCACGAATGCATCCAAGACAGTTTCCAGACTTCACGATGAGGGGTGCGCAACTGTTGCACTGACACTTCAGCCACTTGAGGCGGCCAGCAGCTTTGGAGAGCTCGTCTTCGCCACGCCGAAGTGCTTCTTCCATCTTGAGCAAAACCAACTCTTTGGCAGCGACAAGCTTCGCAAACAAGGATGCATTCCGTCTCTTCTTGTCTGGGTGCACGGCGAGACTCACTTTCCGAAAGGCCTGAGTTACCACTCCAGCCTCCGCCGGGAGCTTGGCCAACCCTCATGGGCTGCAGGAGGCTCTTGAGCTCTTATTATAAAAGCTCAAGAGCCTCCTGCAGCCCGGCCAAGCCAGACGCATCGTGGGCTGTCTTCGGCATGTTGAGGAGCTATTGAAGCTATTGCCACAAGTGCTTGGAGAAAGGCTGCCCAAACCAAACGAATCAAAAAACGCAAATACTTCAACATGGGGTTTGGGGTTTGGGGTTTAAGGGGGCTTGGGATTTGGGCTTTGGGGTTTGGGGTTCAGGTTTGGGGTTTGGGGTTTGGGTTTTGGGGCAGGGGGAGTCCAGCGGTGACAAGAGTCGAAACTCCTTGTATTGGAAGAAGCAACGTTGGCCTTCCGTTTCACATTAACAAGAACCTACAGCCAAGTTTGGGGCGGGAAGGAATGCTTGGCTGATCTTGGCTGTGAAACGCACTCGTCTCTTTTTGTTTCAGAAATCGGTCAATGGACCCTTGGTACTCTTCCGCGCCGAGGTGTACGCGTGCCCAGCGCATTTGGCGACACAACTCTAGTGACTGCTGCCTGCCCGACATCGCCAAGCACGCTCTAACAGAGCTCATGTACAAAAACGACGTGGGCGAGAAGCGCTGGGCACCCAGGTAGTCCAAAAATCGCAGGCTCTGTCGCCACAGGCCAGCATCTTCGAGAGCGTCGGACAGGGCAGCGGAAGTGAAACTCATTTTCTCCGCAACTTCTGCCTCCTGCCAGCCTTTGCCACATGCCTTTTCGACGGTAGGGGAACCCTTATCCAACTGTCCATCAAGCAGTTGCAAAGCTTCGGGCCAGGACGACGCTGCAGCAGTTGCACTGACAACAGTGCCCCAACCGAAAATGGTCGAGAACGGTCGGGAGGCATGCAGCTCGTCTAGGGAAGCTAAGGACATCTCCCAGTGCTGAGCTGCACATGTACTGATGACGAGATTGAAGCACGTCAGCTCCATCTGAATTCTTCGTTCACGGCTTCGATGTAGCAGCCACAGAGCCTGCTGCCACTCATGGGCTTTTCTGCAGGCGCTTAATGCGGCAATGCAGGAGACTTCATCGACCTCCTGTGCTTCAAAAGCCCAAAGGGCCGAGGCCCATGCACCGGCATCACCACATGCGCTGATGAGGGAGTTCGTAAAAGTCTGCATCGGGCCCAGTTGATCAGAGACTTCTCCATGCAGGAGTAGGGCCATCGGCCAGCTGTCTGCACTGCGGAAAGCACCGATAGCTGTGTTGTATGTGCCGAGGTTCAAAACCAAGCGTCTTGTTCCAGCATCCGAGCAGAGTCCTACAGCTTGCCGCCAGGCTCCGGAGTCTCCACACGCAGACAATGCCGAACTGTAACTAATTGAATCCACTCTCACGTAGTCCTCAAGAGCCTCGCGGACTAGCTGAAGAGCCCCTTGCCACTGGCCGCCCTCACCCAGCGCATTGATCACTACGTTGAACGCAAATATGCTCGGTCTCATGGTCTCTTCTCCGATGTCGGTAAACAAGGAAAGTGCGCGCTGCCACTGAGCAGAACGGCCACAGACACAGATGGCGGCGCAGTGCGCAACCACGCTGAGCTCCTCCATGGCTTGCAGAAGACTCAGTGCAGTTTCCCACTGCTCATCTACCTCACATGCAGAGATGACGGCCGAGTAGGTGATGGCGTTTGCTCGCATTTCTTGCGCGACTGCTTCCTCTAGCAGAGCTGCCGCCAGCTCCCATCGGCCCTCAGTCTTGCATGCAGCGATGGCAGAGTTGTAAGAGACGAGGGTTGGCTGGACAGAGACGTGAGCTATCTGGCGAAGCATGTACAGGGCTGTGACCCAGACCTCACTGCATGCGCAGATAGCTGAATTGAACGTGACAGCATCGGGCTGCACATGACAAGAGCAGAGTTCTTCCAGCAAACACAGCGCTTGTTGCCAGTGGCCCGATTTGTCACACGCGCTGACTGCAGTGTTGTATGTTACGATGTCGCTCCGAATCCTGCGGCGCTGCGCATGCCTGAGAATGCACAGCGCATGCTGCCATTGGCCAGCCCTTTCGCAAGCAGACATCGATGCGTTGTACGTAATGGTGTTTGTGGTGAAGTCTTCATCTTCAGCATCATGCAACAATGACAGAGCCACCGCCCAACAATGACAGTGCCCAAGGGCGTTGATGCCAGAATTGTATGTGATGATGTCCCAGGGTATGGAATTCCACAGCATCTCTTGCATGAAGCTGAGAACTAGCTGCCATCGGCCAGATGTTCGAGTTGCCGAAATGACGGTGTTGTATGTCACAACAGTGAGTTGTAGATGTTGAAGTTTGGCATCCTCAAGTAAGTGAGGGATAGGCAACCACTGTGCTGCCTTCTCACAAGCGCTGATGATTGCATTGTAGGTGATGGTGTTTGGCTGCACACTCCTCAGTTTCGCATCGCGCAGAAGGGATATGGCCCTTTGCCACGCACCTCTTCTCCTGCATTCCGTGATGGCCTGATTGATGTCCAGGATTCTTGGCGTGCACTCGTGTGCCCGAGCATCGATTCGGGTTGTGGCTGGAAGGCCTGGAAGGTGAAGAGGGACAAGTGCGAAAATGTTCGAGTTAAACATGTCGGAGCATGCATCTGCACTAGAGGCAACGAAGAATTCCGAATTCCGAGGTCATTTTGGGCAGGAAACTGCGGAAACGTCAAGAGGAGCCGTCAAGGAGGCCTCTACCACCAGGTGTCCAGGCAATGCGACATTTCCGCCTCTGTGGGCTCCCGGCCTCTGAGACACGCTCGAGCTCCTGCAACAGCCTCACACAGGACATCTTTCGCTTGCCTCTAACTTCCTCAACTTCTGCTCTTTGGGCTTTGGTGCCGGGCCTGGTCTCGCAACTTGTGCTCCGATTCTTCAGATCTTCGATCTGAGCCTTCCAGCCACCGGGGATGTCAGCTGCTCCCACTCCACCCACTCCGCTGCCCGTCTGCCTGCAGATCTTGCCGGCATTTGCTCACCTGGAACACACCAAGACCCCAGACGCCGACGGCTCACGAGAACATGACACGTCGGCCTGCTCCGCCAGCCTGCCACGACAAGGTTTCGAGGATATCGCACTTACACGGAAGCGGGTAGCAATATCGCCGAGAACCGAAACTCTGTCATGTTCAGAGGGCAACAACAGAAGGCAAACAACACAAAAAGTAGCTCCATATGCCATTGGTACTTCCCTGGTCTGCCCTGATTTTTGAGTGGCTGTGTACAGGTATCTCAAACCGCCTGGTTCCTCTTTCATCGATTTGGACGGCATGGTCCTGGTTCTCGTCATTCTGTGGCCACGACGTCGTCGTTCCCAAAAGCCCACCCGCCCACAAGCGCCGACCTCCACCTCCACCACCCGAGGCGAAAAGAAGCAGGCACAGATCAAACGGATCTGCCTTAAGCCGACTTCCTGCAAGCTGGGTTCAGTTTAGTAGCACGTCTCTATATATATATATATATGAATATGAATACAAATAAATAAATATATATATATGTATGTATCTACACACGCACCTCCAGACATGTATGTGTATATATATACATACATACATACATACATACATACAATCATACATACAATCATGATGTTTGTTTAATCACTCACATTTATATTTGGAAAGATAGTACCGGAAGTTTGGGCACAGTGTGCGGTCTGAGAACAGGACCCGGCTCCCGGCCCACTCGAGGCCGCAATGAAGCTTTGCTCCAAGTGCTCGGTCCTCACAGGGTTTGGGGTTTAGGGCGTTAGGATTTAGGGCTTAGGGTTTAGGGTGTGTCGACCAAACATCCGCGGTAGGTGTTTAAGTGTTCGTGCAACGGAGCCATGGCGACGTATATCCGATATTTTCAGAGCAAGAAAATTCCGTCAAGAATGTGGTGCTGCTCTAAATCTCCCACCCCGAGAAGCCACCCAAAACTTTGGTAAAAAAAATTAAGTCCTTGAGCGTGCCCAAAATCACAGAAAATCTAAAGCAGGCAAACAAAGAACGGCGCTGTTTTGCTGCAGACTGTGGTCCCGACTCCTTTGGGCACACACGAGCACTCCAGGGTCCTTTTTTTAATCCGGGCTCCAAGGCTGACAGGGTTTAGGGACTACGGGAGGCGTAAGAGCAGGCACACACGAAGAAAAGGGGATGGGTACCTCGACCTGGGCACCTTGCATTTTTATGAGCAGAATTTAGAAAGCCAAAGTCAAGTCAAATTTTCCGGATCGCAGGAGGGCAGGGGCAAGGTCCCGGAGAGGGCTTAGAGCAGGCACACACAAAGAACGGCGCCGTTTTGCTGCAGAATGTGGTCCGGACCCCTTTCCCCTTAGGCACACACGAGCACTCGAGGATCCATTTTCCGATCCGGGCTCAAACGTGTTAATTGGGTTAAGGGCCTGGAAATAACTAGAAAAAGTTATCGACTGTACTGTCGATATAGAGTTATGAAGGAATACTTGTACACAGACATGCACTTACCTGTAAATCGCTGCAATTATGCAACATGATTACCATTTACTTCTAGGTGCTGTCATTTGTTTACATTCCCGACAAAGTGTGTTATGCTCTTGAACGTGTGAAGGCTTAAGCTGAGCATTAGGCTTAAGCTTTAGAGTTTAAGGTTTAGGGGTTTAGGGTTTAGGGGTTTAGGGCCTAGGGTTTAAGGGTTTAGGGGTTTAGGGTTCAGGGTTTAGGGAGTGCTACTGTATGATACATTCCATAGCTGTCTTTTCAAGCCATGGAAGGACCACATGACTCTATGCATGTAGGTGTTTACACACACAAACAGACCCAGAGAATTCAGAGAGAGAGAGAGGCTTTGTTCAACATTCTGCGGGGCAGTCCGTTCGAGCGTGGTGTTGATCATCTCCTGCACGAGGCTTCAGCCCAGATGGAGTCGCGCAGCAGCAACAGGGTGCAAGGTCACCAGACGGGGCAAACTTACAAGAGGCGAGCACCAAGACAGAGTGTGAAGCATCTTCTCAAACAAGAAGACATGTTGACCGATGCCTCAGTCCTGGAAAAACATGCAGTGTTGGGAAGTCTAGTCTAGTCAGTCAAGCAGCAACAGGGCCATCATGCCCTGAAGACACACGTGACCACAGCAAGGAACTCTACGAATCGCACGGCAGCAGCCCGTGTGCCTCCAGGTGCACCTGCAGAAGTAAGCTGACACGGAAGACCGGAGCAGCTGAGACACCGGCCTTGGTGGAGTCGCTCCCGCTTAAAGCTCCGGAGCCAGCCGTCGCCTGCACTCCGGTGTGCCGTCCCCGCCGTGCCCTTCAGTCTCGAGGCCCCTCCCTGGCACTCCAGGGCCTCCTGCACTGCCGTGCAGACCTCCTGCATCGGTGAAGCGAACAACAGGCTGGACACGCTCTGCTGTGACACACGGGTCGCCTCCATCCGCACGGCTGTTTGCTGCCCCAAGACCATCAGCTTCGCCAGCTCGGCACGGAGCTGGGCCTCCACGGCCTCGAGGCGTTCCGAGACGACCTGGGTGAGCTGGGCACATTCGGCCAGGTCAGAGCGCGTCTGCCCCAGCCGGTCCTGCAGTCGAAAGAGTCGTGAGTTTTTGAGAAGGGTCTTTTTTGTTTGCTTCAGAACCCAGGCTTTCTCTTTCTGGAGCCCATTGGAGCCCTACCCACGCCGTTGAGAATCCGAAGCAGGAATTCGAAGCTTTTCGCCGCAAGCCGTGACGCTCTACTGAGCAGCGAAGTAACACCAGGCGAGTCGCCAAAGAATTTTATCCATGGCTCTGACCCGAGTTGAGTTTCAGGCAATGCTTTGTCCTTCCGCGGGATGTGCAAGACTCGGCTGACATGCCGGTCCGCATGTACAGGGGTCGCCGCATGATAGGCTTCACCACCAAGCCGACCACGAAACAGCCTCTTCAAGGACCAGCAGACAGCTTCCGGCCTGCCCTTTGACGGGAGAGCTCTTCCTCCCTGACAGTCATTGTCTCGACGTCGCATGTCCAAACGGAAAGAGTGCGGCCGGTGGTCCGCTTTGCCGGGAGGCTTTGTCACTGGCTTTAAGTTTTAAGCGCCTTTAAGCACGATACCTCAGCAGGGAGCTCAGCATCTGGGAGGAGTCACAGCAGTCAAAGATGCATACCAGCCTTGCCCCTTCGGGTAGCAGATCATCCACGAGCACCGAGACCTCGCGCTCCCTAATCGGACCAGCTCTGCGCCAGTCAGACGGTAAAAGCTCAGCATGGTCGCCGTGACCAGCAAACAACAAAAAGAGCTGCAGGGCTTGTAGGTGCTCCTCCGGCAGCTCACCCGAGCAACAGCCATGAGGTGCGCCGAGGCCTCTGTTTTCGCCACGGAGGAGCCACTCCAGCTGAGTCAAGATGTTGTTTCGCGAAGGCATCAGTGTCACGTCGCCGGAACTGTCGCATAGAACACGCATGTCGTGCTCCCTGACAATGCCTTGTCGAAGCAACCAGGATCGCATGTCCTCAACATCATTCCAGGAGCCCTCGAGCCGCAGCGCCTCGTCTTCCTTGTAGCAGATCCCGATCAGCAGAGCCCGGGCCGTCTGGGCCGCTGACAAGGCCTGGTCAAGGCTGCTCTCCAGATCCCGGGAGCATCGCAAGGTCACGGCGGCTTCAAGACCGGATCGCTGGAGAGCTGCCTGCATCCGGAGCCGTAGCTCTTGCAAGGACAGGGATTTCCAGCGGCCCTCCGCCGCCATCAACACAGCAAGAAATGCTTGGGTGCACAGCCCACCCTTCGTGGGACCCCAGACTCTCCATAGAGAGGGGAACCAATCGAAAGCGGACTCTGAAGCTGGCTCCAAGCCCTCGGAGTTTTCGGATTCTTCCTGCACGGCAGCCTCGGCGGCTATGGCAAGAACCAGCCGGCTAGTCTCTCCATTCAGGTCGTAGCCAAGGATGCCACATGCCCGCAGAACGCAGCGAAGGGCCATGCAGGATGATCAATCCTTGGCCCTGAATCAAGAGCTGCCTGAATCCTTTTGCTTAAAGTCTGCAGATTCCCACTGATTCCCACTGGTCCCCCTATTGTCCCTGCAACACAGGTCCTGCAGCTGAACTTCAAGCTCTTCCTTCCTGGGGCCACAGCAAAAGAGTACGCAATCCTGGCCTGCCTAACATCCTCGACCACTCAGGGCCGAACAGCTTGGACGCCTCGGCCCCATCCGCCGCTGCCGACTGCGTCTTGTATCTTTCAGAGGCCTGCGACTACAAAATACGACTGGCTGCAGGGTGGACTGAACCTGAACCGTCGCGCAGCAAACCACGACTGCCGTTTTCCGAGGAGGCAGAGTCTCAGAGCCGTGTATGTACAGTCAGATGTCGCACATCTGCATCAGCACTGGCAGTTAAAGCCATGCTTCTATCAGGCCCTGGCAACATGAAACAACGGTCTTGCTGAGGCAAAGGGTCACTGCAGAGTCCCGAAGTGGGGAACAACACTGTCATACAAGATGCCACACATGCCTTCGGTGCAGAGGCGGCAACCGACAGTTTCCCTTGCAACATGGTTCAAGACACAGAGCCAAGCATAGCCGAGCCACCACATACCCGAACTTGTGCAGGGTCGCCAGTGCAAGCAGTGCCTGGGATGGAGGACGATGGAGGACACATGGTCTTCACATACACGTGCGATATCGTGCGATGATCGAGACTGCCGACTGCTTTTTCGATGCGGTATTTTTGCCCAGCGTCCCTTTTCAGGTTGTCGGTCCCAACCGCATTGTTGTGAATCGTCTGCATCACTGCGCAGAATGCGAATCCGGCCGCCCTGCCATCAGGCTAAAGCCGAGGCCCACCCCTACTCACAGATGCCACGAACCGCGCATTCCTGGCCTCGCCCCAGTTGCTGCCCCACGAGTTCTGTATCAAATAGAAAAGATCTCCGGACTTGGAATCCCTGCCGTAGCCAATCAGCGTCACGGCATGATCAATGACCGAGTCCTCCAGAAGGATCAGGGACAAAAGCTGTCCAGTCAACGAGACCGTCGCCTCAAGCCAAACTCATGACTGCAGGATGAACGTCCTTCCCGCAATGATCGAAAACGCCGGAAGCGTAGAGATGCCTCGGGAGCTGTCTTGGGTTCCAGAACTTCAAACCCATTCGTCCATGGATCCCTTGCCCTGCAACCTCCGAGTCGCTCCGGTCTCTTCCCTCTCACGACAAACGACGGAGTCTGAGGGTGTGCCAGTCTGGATTTGCCAAAGGTAGACAGCCAGGCTGCCAGTTCGTCGCAGCTACCGAAACGCCGACGGGCCCTCGCTCGTAGAGGGCTCGCAGGAGAGGCTCTTGACCTTACAGACGCGAAGACCGAAGTATGCATGGGCGGGGATGGTGAAAAAGCCCCTGGCGGTTGGGTGGCAGCTTCTCCCATCCCTGCAGGCCGAAGCCAAGCCCGGCGGAGTCCGCCGCGGCCCTGTGCACGCGCGGCGCCTGCAGGTCCGAGTGCCTCAGAGAACGGACGCTGCAGAAGCCACCTACCCCCAAACCCTGTGGAGCAACACCATTCAAACCCGAGCGGCTCATGCAGGTAAGCGAGGGCAGCTAAGTCCTCTTCAACCTGTGCACGGTACTGATCCTTCACGTCCAGCGCCTCGTGCCCACTATCCTGCAGGCAGGTACATGCATCGAATCTTCCCATGTTCAAATAGTATGCTCCATGTCCTGGTTGAAAGCTGCGGCCGTCCTTAATCAACCGACTGCTGCCCACCATGGGACCACGCTGCAATGCTGCACCAAGGACACGGGGCTACGAACTGGCGTGATCTTGCTTGCAAGCATCTGGAGGGTACTCGGAGCAGGTTGCAAGCTTTGCAAGCCGCACTCGCTGCTTTTGGCTTTGTAAGGCATTTCGCTCTCTTTGCGAAGGCCCACGTGCATGGCCTCGTGGCCGAACACGGACAAGCCCCAAACACGATGCAGTCACAAAACGATCTCGGAGTGCCGCCGAAGTACATAACTCATCGCCAATTCTACTGTGGCCCCTGTACAGCCGCCCTTGCCACCGCAGTGCTTCGGATTCGGGACACAATCCACAAGCTCCTGCCAGCGTTCGTCTCAACGCCGCAAGCATGATAAATCGCGGCATACAGCGTAAAGAGTGGCTGCGGCTGGGCTTCCTGAGCTGAGAAGCTCCGCGGCCGGCCGCTGATCTCTGCATGAGCCGTCAAAACCACGGCACTCGTCACGGCCCAACACGACCCGCAGCTGCCCTGCCAGGCCCACTGCCCACGTCGCCACTTTGCTCTGGCTCACTCCACTCTCGACAAGTTTGCCGCTTTGCCGCCAAGGCTCTTGGCTCGCCACCTCGCGCAGCGCAGCCAGCGAGGTCCAGTTGAAGTGCTCCGGCAGCGAGCGCACCTGCCAAAGAGGCCCGGCAAATCCCTGTGGCCCTGGCTCAGGTCCGCGGCCTGCACCAGCGCGCTGGGGTCGTCTGCTTGGGAGCCGGCAGTGCCACGCCAGCCGCGCAGCGCCTGCAGCTCCTCGTCTCGATAGTCCTCCAAACTGAGACTCGCTGCCCTTCCTCCCCAAAAAGCAGCTCACCCTTGTCGAAGTGACGAGTCGGTGACGAGTCGCTGCCAGGGGCCCGAGGCCCGCGGTCCAGCGGCGCGAGGGGCGGCGATTCAGCGCCTGCACCTTTCCACATCTTCCCACGTTTGCTGCGTCTCGGTGATATGCGCGGATGCGTTTCAAGCCGAGACGAGCACACTCGCTCGCGAGCCTCCTCCGCCCGTGCCTGGAAGATCCGATGCCTCTCCTCGAACTCTCGAGACCCGGCTTCGTAGCCTCAGGAAGGCGGAGGCAAAACGCCAGCAAAAAAAGGCCAACTCAGTAGCTTCGACGTGTTCGTCTTCTTAAGCCGGGCTGCTGCGGTGAAATCGCTGGACGAAGTCCTCGAAGGACTCGGCGCCTTCACTCGCCGTCGCAGCTGCTAATCCAAAGCACGGCCAGCGCCAGAGGGCCCATGAGGGCATTGCCACCTAAAGAACAGCTGGCGCTACTGCAGCAGCGAGGCAGCGCACCTCGCATGTGGAAGCACTTTCGGATTTGAGCAAAGAAGCTGCGGAAAAGGGGATGTCCTCATGCTTCATGCTCATTGTCATGACTGCGTGTTGCATGAAATGTATGAAGTCATGCACTGGCGAAATAAGCTGGTTCATGCATGAAAGCATATGCGACAGCACTTTTTGGGCAAGTTCACAGGTCCGCTGCTCGGTTAAGCTGGTTGCAGGCAAAGCAGGCAAACCAAGCCTTGTCAAAGTCAAAGGAAAAGTCAAAGGAAAAGTCAAAGGAAAATTCTTCGTGCAAGCGATAAGTAAAGGTTCAGTCTCCTGCTATCTGCTCGACATTTCTGGGAGGGGAATCCATACACGTGTGGCACAAAAAAAGAGATGTCTGGCGCAAGCATGGCATAAAGAAAGAAATCCTGGACATATTTCTTTTTAGAGGTAGATATCATGGTGAAGAAACCTTCCAAAGTTGAACCAGTTGAACCTGTTGAACCCATATCATGTAGCAGGTTCGCAGAAGCATGATGTCCGAGCTTAATTGCCGGCTGAGGCTGTCTGGTTCCCAGATCAGCACTGCGGGAGCGTATCAATGAAGATCCAAACACTTCCTACCCACAAAGCCGACTTCATGAGTGGAGAGATAACACAATCGAGGATAATCGCTTTCTCGGAGTCTACAATGTGAGGCGCTAGGTGTTTTGTGATCTTCCTGGAATATTGTGACGAAACAGTTTTGTGCGCAAGCTCGTCAAGTTGAGTCACAAAGGTCATGGTAACGCAATTCAAAACCAACTCTGTGTCATTTTCTGACATCAATACAAAGCGGGTGCCAACCCAAGAAAGGTAGGCAGCAATGGCAAGCTTAGGCAAAACGACAAAGACAATGCCTGCTACGCGGTCCCGCATCCATAGCTTCTCAGGATCGTCCTCCGCAATATCTTTCACCACAGCCTCTGCGGATACCATCCACATGACAATAGTCAGTGTTTCCATGATCTCCTGTATCATGTGGCCAACGAAAGCTCCTGCGCCGATCCATTGCAGCCCACGACTTACATTGACGTCGCAGGGGTCCAGTTTCTCCAACTCACTTTCAAGGTAATAGGTGATTGCAACTTGGCATAGCATGCTCAACGACAAGAAACACATCTCCGGCAAAGCATTGAAGAAAAAGAGCATCATAATAACTACTCGCTCCGCATCAGTTCTTCTCACCCCATCGACCACCTCATGTACCGCCAAAAAGGCCGTGATGTAGGCTGACTCTGGAAGGCGGAGCTCAATCTTCCTGTATGACTCCACTGCCATGGTACCTCTTCCTTAAGAGGCTGGATTCAAATCTGAGTCGCGCTGTTGCTACTTATCTCCCTTTCCTGAGCCGAAGCAAAGGATCAAGAGTTGTACATGTACGCAAGATGCATGAGTCCGTGTGCAAAGAGCAAGTTTTCGCTGTCTTCATCCCTGTATGCAATCAAGCGTTTGCCCAGTTTTTTGGTACTTGGGGCCGGGAAAAAAAAAACATCCACTGCCACTCTTCCAGTCATCAAGACAAAAGCATTCAATTCCTTCCGGTGACCTGGTCATAGAAACGCCTAGCACGTTTGGGCCCACATGGGGCAAACATGAAGCAACCAAATCAAATAGAGAATCAAAAGCAACCCGTCAGGGTACTACACGAGGCCGGTATGTCTGTCTTTATCCTGACTTCCACTGCAGACCTCGTCGAGCTTTGCGACGGCCTGCTGAAGTTGAAGCTGCAGCTTCTCCTCACGGTACACCGGCATTGTCTAAGAAGATACACCCGTTGAGCACTGCCCGCTCCTCGGCGCTGGTGAAGCTGGTCGACATCATGGCCAGATGACGCTCGGCCTTCCGCAACCCTCCGTGGCTTTGTATTCAGCAAATCAGAAAGGGCCTCCGATGATAAGGCGGCCGTCGTTCGCTCGCTCGCGGCCCCGACCTTGCAGCGTCACCCGGAAGTTCGCTCTTCAGCCGGAGCCGGGAATGATCGCGAACGCCATGAAAGCCGAGGCACCAAAGGCCAGGAACCGAAGCAACCGGCAGAGCAAGGAAGTTTTGTTTATAACCCAGCTCCCACTGCGAGCTAGGACCGCCGACAGCAGATGACGTCGCTTGCAGAGCAGAAGCCTGGAGGAGACGAGCACAACGTCTCCCAGAGTCAAGAAGCGAAGTACCCCTAAGCAGGCGTGTGACACGCCTGTTCTGCCATGGCCTCCGCCATGCCTTTCACCTCAGCTTCAGAGACTGATCTTGAAACAGCCGAAGCTGTGAGTCCTGCTGGGCACATGCTCCCAACACTTGATGAGAGTTCTGGAACTTATGCCGGAAGACATATCAATGTTTTTCTGCACAGTAATGTGGAGCCGGTGGAGGACGCCTTTGTCTTTCTGCCAGAATGGATTGAATGGATTGTCTTTTGCTGGAAGGGACCCTAGCACTGCGCAACAGCAAGGCACGTGCCGTTGCCTCCTCGGCTCTCAAGCTCTACTTTTAAAGCTTCTAGATCCCTGCACTCGTTCCGACCCTCTGCCTGTGCCCTGTGAGCTCGCAATCCTTGCAAGCTGGTGTCCAGCGCATCTGTGTCTGGGCCCATGGGTAGCATGGATGAGGCATCTCTTGCAACGTGCAGCTCAGTCGATCTCATTCGAGACCTCTCTGTTTTTCGATCTACCGCACAGACAGATGAGCTGGATGCTGTGCGTGTATTGCTCCCATGTGTCCAGCTTCTGCCTCGCCCCGAAGAAGCGGCATGTCATGGGCGACGCTTTTGCAAAGCAAGCTATGCTTTGGATGCAGTTCCTTCTAAGCATTTCTCTGTACTAAAAGTGCAACCCATGGGGGTTCATTATGAGGGAAGGCCAACAGGGGCTTCTCCAAGTATGGAAGGTTGCATTGCTGCACTGCACGGAGAAGGTCTAGGGACGCTCTTTTGAGTGTGGAGCAGAACGTACCCCGAGCCGCGCACGGAGACAGAATGCTGCTCCGCTGATGCCGCCTTCTCTCGAACAAGCTCAGCCTGCCACGAAGAGATTTGACTTTCGCGATGCCTCGTCGTATTGGAACTGGGCTCAGTGCATTGGTTTGCACTGCCAGCAAGGCATTCCGGGCTGCAGAGGCGTGCGTCTCAGCTGTTTCAACCTCGCGGCGTCGAGCAGGGACAAGCACGCAGCTTCGCAGAACCCTTTTGGAATCCCTCGGTGCAATCACGCGGCACTTCGTGACCCGGCATCGGCTGACTTCTGCGCGTCACGAGCGTGATTCTCCGCAGCTGCAACCTTCCATCCGCGTTGCCGAAAGCGTGCGAGCATGGGGAGCTTCCAAACACTGTTGCAAGCCGAGATGCTGCTGTGGCCACAGCTTCTACAGCACCCTGGGCGATGGCTGCCTGGCTTTCCGCAGACGTCGCCTAGGGTCGCAGCAAGGTCTCGCGACCATGAAAAGCAACCGCGAGTAAAGAGATCCAGGCATGAGAAGCAGCTGAAGCGGCCGACTCCTGTGCCCGAAGGACCTCAGGCTGGGATGTGTGCTGGTCTGCATGGGCTAAATCAGTGTGCCACTCCGTAGTTTCGCCAAGGCCGAAGCAGCAGTCCGGACCTCACCTGTGCATGTCGAAAAAAGAACTATAGGGGCCCTCAAACCCCACCAGCACAACCAAACATCTGTCATCATATCTCAGCCCTCAAATCACCCACCTGCGAGGCTGTCAGCCAAAGCAGCATGCTGCGCCTCGCTCGCGAAAAAGATGCATGAGCCGGACTCGCAGAGATTACGACAACGATGACCAACTAATAAACTTCAAACAAGCGCGGCGTTGCTGAGAAGCAAAAGCTGCAAAGAACATGTCAACAAAGACGCGAAATGACTTAAACTGATACCTACAGCACCCCGTGGAAGCCAGGGGATCGTAAGCAGCTTCTCACTGTTCGGGAGAAACGCTTCTACACTGCTACACATCACGCAGCTGATACTGCACCGCAGTGCTGTCGGCGCCAAACTCGGGGTTGCCCCAGGTGACCACAGATCCATCAACCAGGATTGCAGCAAATGCCTGACTAGAACCTTGAATCTGCTGCACTTCTCGCAGCTGATCCTGCACCGCACTGCTGTCGCCACCCCAGCCGGCATCACCCCAGGTGACCACAGATCCATCGCCCAGGATTGCAGCGAATGCCCCATTGGACGCTTGGATCTGCTGCACATCTCGCAGCTGATCCTGTACCGCACTGCTGTCGCCACCAT